ATATATACATATATATATATTAAAGAATGCAAATTTGGCGTTGATATATATTAAAACGAGTGTGTTGAGTCGGGCAATAGCACCAAGTAAAAAAAACTAAAGCAATTAGCTTTATTAATCCATACGTTTTAGTCTTTTTCGAGATCGTCATTCAGTGAAAACTGAAATGTTTTTTATAATTAATTTAGAAGACAAAATGCAAGCATATTGGACTTAAGATAGGTACTTACAGATAAAAACAATTTAATACTACACTACACGATAACATTGTAACACAGTACAACATCAGTAGTTCGAACATTTAAACCTAATTATGAATTAGAGTTAAAAAACTAAATTTGTGTACATAGTTGTAAGTCTTGGTAAGCTGAACCAATTGTGTTCACATTTTAAAAAAAAATGGGCAAACTGGTAAAAACATATGATTTCGGAAAGTAATAAAAAAAAGACAAACGTCATTTGAAAATTAGTCGAGGAATATCTTGTATTAATTACAAAGCGATTAACTGTCAAGGCGCATATTAATTGCTTTATTGTTTAACGATATTGGACAACCTTCACCAAATCTTCTTTTAAATATATTTGTTTCAAAATGTAATATACTCGGGTTTAGGAAATCAATGCTATGCTGAATATTATTCATGTGTTCTATGAGCATTGTTTTACTCTGATTCTTATTTTTCAAATTATTTCTGTGTTGAGAAATTCTTTTGTGTAGATTTTGGCTAGTTTCGCCTATATAAAAACCTTCACAGTTTAGACAATTTGATTTTTACAATAAAATTATTCAAGATTTTCAGATTAAATTTAGATTTTAATTTTTTTTTTTGTAAATAAGATTGAGAGAGTGTTTTCTAATGTAAAGAAAACACTAATATATTTATTGAAGAGTTATTTCCATGCCTAGTAAAGATCGTTTATAAAGGGTAAAGGCGAGTAAGGATAAGGTTTGCGGTTTGGATTTTTAGTTGAAATGTGGCGGTTTTGGAGGTTTCCAGATATGGACTCTGTTTCTGGTTGTGGATTGGATCAAATGTTGAGGATAAGAATTGTTACTTAAGATTTGTGATACTAATGAGAGGTTGTTCTTCAAAAATTTGTTATATGAGTATAGTACACCATGATCTATAAAGTTGATACTGAAACGTATGGATCAATTGCTTTAGTTTTGTTTACTTGGTGCTATTGCTCGATCTAACACACTCGTTATATATATATATATATATATATATATATATATATATATATATATATATATATATATATATACGAGGTCTGTTCAAAAAGTACCCGGAATTACTAATAATTAAATTTGGCGGGTCTGGAGTGTGATTGTTAAAATTTTTTTTTTATTGTGTTGGTATACATGCCCCTAAAGTATGATGAAATTTTCAGCTATATTCACTGTTTACTTTGTCTGTGGTAGTCGCTAAGGTTCGACGTGTTTTTCTGAGCTCGGCGATTTTTACAATGGAAGAATTGAAAAGTCAAAGAATTTGTATTAAATTTTGCGTAAAAAATGAAATAAAGTGTTGCAAAGTGCAAAAATTCACCAGATATGGCTCCGTGTGACTTTTTCCTATTCCCAAAGTTGAAGAGACCCATGAAAGGACGGCGGTTTTCCTCGATTGAAGAAAATCGCTGAGAGTGCTCAAGGACATATCAAAAAGTGAATATCAAGGGTGCTTCGAAAATTGGAAAAAACGCTGGCATAAGTGTATTATATCTGGGGGGGACTACTTTGAAGGGGACCACATTAATGTAGACGAATAAATAAATATTTTTTTGAAAAAACGAAAATTCCGGGTACTTTTTGAACAGACCTCGTATATATATATATATAAAACATTTAATATATATATGTGTCTGTGTATGTGTATTATTTCTACTCGTGCATTAGCGTTGAGTAATATACGTCATTCCTGGTATACGTACATTTTTGAGATTAAGAACACAATATTTGGCATAATAGAAAGTGCGAAATACCGTTTCACCACACGGCGAAAACGGCGTCAATGCAGAAAGAAATAGACTTCACATATCTGAATGAAATATGAGAATGCTTGAATTTGTATCGTAAATATAGTTTAATGTTGCATATTTTAACACAATTTTATTAAATCAGATGATTTTAAATGTTAATAGAAAATAAAATTATAAAATTGTAAGATGAGACTATGAGAAACATTCAAGAAGAAAAATAGAATTTTTTATCTTCAAATTTATTATCTAAGCAATCAAGAAATATAAGTATTATACAAATATTAGATACCAATATAATATATAGTAGTAGTTCCTATATAAAGCTATGAATTTGAACTAAGTTAAAAATATATGAATCAGAAATTAACATGTTCTAAGAGTTGTGCCGACTTCTTTTAATAGCAAATCTATTATTACAATTACAATCTGTTGCTTGTGATACTGTTGCTTTTTTATTGGTGCATCAGTTCCAGATACGGACTATTTTCTCTTGAAAACAGTATGTCACCTGGAACTATGGATCTGGACTATGGCCAGATGCATTAATCATAAAATTTCAAGTACCATGATAGACGTCATAATTTGGAACTATACACAGATTAGTACACTGGTAATACAATCGGCCAAAGAAATTATAAAGACCTGTCGTTCTGTTCAAATAATTGGGAAGCAGAAATGCAATTAACGAGAAAATTAAATATTGAATGTCCTAAATATGCATAAGAATAGAACTTATGTTACTAGCTATAGATTAAAATTCAACATAATATATTTAAATGCTATATAATTTATTACAGGCTGATAGAAACATTACACTTCTTATTGTGTATTACACACACACATTATATATATATATATATATATATATATATATATATATATATATATATATATATATATATATGGTTGGGCTCATCATATATGGAGCCGGATGGATTAGGATTGACTCCACTCTAGAGTGGAGTTATATCCGCTTAACATCTCCGAGACTCCGACAACTTCGAAACCTAATATTCGACACAAATGTGTTCTATAGTTGTTTATATATCTACAGATTTATTAAGTATTTGAAAATATTTTAAAAACAGTTCAAACATTATAGTTCATATTATTATAAAAAATACTATTTTATGCATTTCAATATGCATACAAATCTCTTATGCCGAAACGGAAACAATAAAAATATTGAAATACCAGGGTAATTATTTTGCTATAAAGGGTCCAACTAGGTAATCAAACGACCTTATTTATTTAGACGTAATTTATATTGATTAAACTTGAACACAATTTAATTATTCTGTATTTTTGCAGTTATATTTGTTTACTTCATGGAAAATGCAAAATGACATTATTTTGGGCCATTTTATACCTAGAAAGTCATAAAATTGCCTGTGAGACAAAAGATCGATTGCTTTTATCTATGCAAATCTTTGTATTAGTAAAAAGTCTCTAGCAAATGTCTGTACGTGTTAAGAGATTTAGTACCAGCTTAGGGAAGCCGGATATGAAAAAATCTCCGATACGACTCCGCTCGGATTCACTCGGAGGGAGGAGTTGTATTCTCGGATATAATTCACTCCGGAGTTACCCAACTCTATTATATATATATATATATATATATATATATATATATATATATACATACGAGGTGTGTTCAAAAAGTACCCGGAATTACTAATAATTAAATTTCGCGGGTCTGGAGTGTCTGATTGTCAAAATTTTTTTTTTATTGTGTTGGTATACATGCCCCTAAAGTATGATGAAATTTTCAGCTATATTCACTGTTTACTTTGTCTGTGGTAGTCGCTAAGGTTCGACGTGTTTTTCTGAGCTCGGCGATTTTTACAATGGAAGAATTGAAAAAGTCAAAGAATTTGTATTAAATTTTGCGTAAAAAATGAAATAAAGTGTTGCAAAGTGCAAAAATTCACCAGATATGGCTCCGTGTGACTTTTTCCTATTCCCAAAGTTGAAGAGACCCATGAAAGGACGGCGGTTTTCCTCGATTGAAGAAAATCGCCGAGAGTGCTCAAGGACATATCAAAAAGTGAATATCAAGGGTGCTTCGAAAATTGGAAAAAACGCTGGCATAAGTGTATTATATCTGGGGGGACTACTTTGAAGGGGACCACATTAATGTAGACGAATAAATAAATATTTTTTTGAAAAAACGAAAATTAGGAAAACTTTTTGAACAGACCTCGTATATATATATATTAGGGTGGTCCTTAAAATGGTCATTTTCGAATTTCCTTGCTCCCAGGGGCTCAAATGTTTCCAAATAGATAAAAAACAATTCTCTGAAAATTTTAGCTCTTAATATTAACGTTTAGATAGAGCGCAATTCAATCAAAGTTTTGTATGGAAATAGCATAAAAAAATTTTCAAAAATTTTAAAAATGTTTTTTAAATGTAATTTAGCGAACAAATGAATGAATAAAACTCATTCATTTGTCGCTAAGTTATACTTAAAACATTTTTTTTTAATTTTCAAAAATTTTTCCATGCTCTTTCCATACAAACTTTGATTGAATTGCGCTCTATCTAAACGTTAATATTAAGAGCTAAAACTTTCAGAGAATTGTTTTTTATCTATTTGGAACCATTTGAACCCCTGGGAGCAAGGAAATTCGAAAATGACCATTTTAAGGACCACCCTAATATATATATATATATATATATATATATATATATATATATATATATATATATATATATATTAGAAAGTAGCTTCGGTATTGACTGAAGTCAAGTGAATATGTTTCCAAATTATGTTATTTTTGTGAAATAAATTAATAGTAAACCACATGTGATACAACCTACAATATAATATAAAGACAGGGCCGTTTCCAAAATGAATTATTTCGAAATTAGTTTTCGTTATTGTGAATGATACTGAATGAGCAAACAAATTAATGAAGAAGATATTGAATTTTCGTTTGTAAAACGACCCTGACATTACTACTAAAATGTGCCACTACTAACCGGCTCTACATGTGCTCAAGCGTGTTCAATACCTCGTGGCCAGATCGTGTACGCGATCGGCATTGCTAGAATCACTTTCTCTCCCATACACGCTGGGACGCTGACACCATTGTACATCTGAAATGTGCCGGGTCACCCAATGATTTACTAAACCAACTAGAATTGCGCTCACGCATGCATACTCACATGCCCCCGATTATCATGCAATCGTTTAATTAAAAAAAATTCAATGAATTTTATCAAAGCGCGCGTTAAATATTCAGTTCTCAAAGTATAATATTCAATCAAAGGTAAACAATAAGTTAAAATCAATAAGTAACAATCTAACAATAATAACGCCGACGTTATAGTCGTAAAGCATTGTGAAATTTAAATGCAAACAGATCGAATAAAACCGTTCGTATGAAGAAATTAAATTAATGAATGTGTGTCATGCATGTGAATAGAGTCGAAATAATGGTATAGTCCAGTCATTTGGTGTAAAAAAAGGCTGTTGCCGGTACAGTACTCCGGGAATTCTGAAAATTGGTAATCTTATAGATTTCGAGATGCTCTTTACGAAAATCAACTTTGCCACCTCAAATTTGAACGGCAAGTTGCCGCCATATTGGAAAAATAGCGTCAAAAAACAGCTTTTTTAAAATATCTTCTTTTTGCCTCATTCTACGATAAAAGTATCTATGCACGAATTAAACTAGATAAAATTTCCTACAATTCTTTAGAAAACCGTTTTTTGTAAAATTGATAGTTTGAGAGTACAGCCGCCTTAAAGTCTTTGCTGCTCTCGCCGTAGTATCAAATCTCTCCATATATGAAAGCACTTTGAACTTGACCACATTCTCTCTAATAAATAAATATTTTCAATGTTAAATTAAGTGAACAAGATCTAGAAATAAAATAATTCAAATATTTTTCTGTTTTTTGCTGATTTTTTAACATTTCTATGGCAAAGTAGCAATAAGTAAGTAGCTTGAAGTGTTAAAAAATCAGCAAAAAAACAAAAAAATATTTGAATTATTTTATTTCTAGATCTTATTCGCTTAATTTGACATTGAAAATATTTATTTATTAGAAAGAATGTGGTCAAGTTCAAAGTGCTGTCATATATGGAGAGATTTGATACTACGACGAGAGCAGCAAAGACTTTGAGGCGGCTGTACTCTTAAACTATCAATTTTACAAAAAAACGGATTTCTAAAGAATGGTAGGAAATTTGATCTAATTTAATTCGTACATAGATACTTTTATCGTAGAATGAGCCAAAAAGAAGATATTTTAAAAAAGCTGTTTTTTGACGCTAATTTTCCAATATGGCGGCAACTTGCCGTTCAAATTTGAGGTGGCAAAGTTGATTTTCGTAAAGAGCATCTCGAAATCTATAAGATTACCAATTTTCAGAATTCCCGGAGTACTGTACCGGCAAAACGACCAAATGACTGGACTAGTAGGTGGAGGATCAGAGCGCGGACACTTACGGCCACGTTCCGGATCTTCGTCTTCGAATGCGGTCGCCGCTTGAAAGGCCGCACTTTTCGCCGATTTCGTTACGCCGGATTTCCGCGTTATCGAGCTTGCCGGACTGCTCGACATCTTCTGCAGTGTTCGAAGTGGGATAATACGACAGTTGATAATTGACGCGTTCGTTAAGACGTCTTTTGTGAAGCGTTGCTAGATCTATGTCCGACACACAGGCCATTATCACATACGTTCCAACTAGTAGACGCTCGTTTGCGTACACATTTTACCAATACTCATTATTAAAATCAAAAATTTCTAGTAACGTCTAATTTACACATATCCACTATCAGCGTACACTAAATTTTTGCTAAGAACCAAAATATACACAGAGGTTATGAGATTCATTTTAATGCACCGTTTGTCACATTGACATTTGGCATTTTGACACAAATGTGATATCTTCGGTCTAAACTATTATTTAATTTAATACACAGAACTTATAACAAAAATTTCACTCGAAACATTATAATATCGTTATCTTTTAGTTATACACCAATATTTTAGGTTAAGTTTAGTGTAACTATGAAGCGACTGTCTCTCCATATCCATGTTTTCCGATTCAATGAATGAACGTGCGTTTAATAAATGAAATAACTCGGCAAACAGACTGTGTAGTGTAACTCGCAAGACGATAATGATAAGTAAGTCGAAGCGCGACGGCACCAACCAACGAACTCTGATTTGATAGCCGACTTTGCCCATTTCGACGACATTCCGTTGGCACAGCGAGGGCACAGCGCACCGCACAACTGTCAAGTTTGCGCATGTAAAACGTACGACGAATCGACGATACGATAATATGGCGAACGGGCCAAACGGTTCGCTCCGAATGACAGCGTATCGCTGTCAGTGGCAGCGTGCTGATGGCTGGCATGCGCCCGTCGCCCGTGCTAAGCCGCACACATCATACGCACTACGCACGATAGGACAGAAAGAAACGGTCATGCAATATGCATTATATGAAATATATTACTCAAAAGTTCAGTTCTTATATTAAACTAGTGGGGCGCATGGCATCGTGCCTTAAGGCAAATCGCTGGAACTTCCCGACCAAAATTATTTTTTTTTTTAAAGATTAACATTTTTGAAAGAAATTTACTCTGAAAAATTAGATTTTTGAGAAACTATTGACAACAATTTACTTTTTTTTCAAAAAAATACTTTTTGAAAAAAAAAGTGTATTTTGAAATATTTTGGAAATTCTGAACTTTTTTTTTCAAAGCAATCGTACTACTTTAACTGCATAGAGACAAAATATCGAAGCGCGTAAGCGACGCGTCGCCGTCTAACGGATAAACATTGATACGAAACCTATAGGAATGTAAACAAAATTTATACTTATTGTTAAAATCTCTATAAAATATCTGATAATTTGATGTGCATATATCTAATGATAATTCTTGACCGCCAGATGGCATTTTTTTTTACTTTTTTTACTACATCTCCGAAACCGCTAGACCTGCCTTCGTGAAAATTTGATCAATTCTTCATCTTGTTAATTCGAGTAAAATGTTTTTTGAATCATTCAAATCGGACACTCCGTTCTCTTAAAAACTGAGTTACAGTTTTTGGTACTTTTTGCCCCATATCTTCGGAACGGCTAGACCTGCCTTCGCCAAAAACTAATCAGCACGTCTCCTTATCTATACGAATCGAATGTTTTTTGAATTCATCCGTGTTCCCCAAATCGTCGACGAAAATTTGTATCCGAACACATACATACATCCATTTTTTCTAACATTGGAGAGTAAGGTATGCCAAAATATTCAGAAACCTCTGAAACGTAAAGATATATAAAAAATTTCATTTTCGATTTTTTGCGATTACTGTAACTTACCCTACGGGAAGTAAATAATACTATTGAATAATCTATCTTCTCACTTGTTTTTCTCTATTCATACACGGCATAGTTTTTCTCATTCACAAGTTCGATTAGGTATTAAAAATGTAAATATTTAAATACTGATCGTATGTCAATTATGATTATAAAATTAACTAGTGGTGCATCGTGCTTTTCTAAAAAAAAATTAGTCAGTTCTTCGTTCTACAATACAAGTATAATTGTATTTTAAATTACGAAATCAGACGCTCCGTTCTCTCAACAACTGAATTACCATTTTTGGACCATTTGCCCCATATATTTGAAACAAATGGACTTGCCTTTGCCAAAAACTAATCAGCACGTCTCCCCATCAATATGAATCGAATGTTTTTTGAAATACTCAAATCCGCATTTGTATTCCGCATTTGATTCCTTCTTTCTCCTTTATTTTTTCTTGTAGTTTTATTCAATTTTTATTAATATCTTATTTTTCAAGTACATTTTTTTAAGTGTATTTCAAATTTTATATTTGTACACAGTACTCAATCGGGATTCGATCTCAGTACTTCTTGCGAGTTGAGGTTTAACCACTCTGCTCCACGCGCGGCATGATTAAAAATATTCCGTTAAATTTGTTAGCAACTTTAATATATATATATATATATATATATATATATATATATATATTAATTTGAAAATATGAACAAGCAACACTCTTTTTGCACTAATTTATTAAATCGAAAAGTTTGTAAAAATTATTATTTAATAAATTAGTGCAAAAAAGAGTGTTGTTTGTTCATATTTCCAAATTAATATCTATTTATCCACTCAGAATACAAATATACATATATATATATATATATATATATATATATATATATATATATATATGATTATTGTCAATTATTTACTGATAATTGATATCATTATTATTAATGGCGAATCATTTTTCCAGAAACATTATGAGCAATGTGGTATTCTATACACATTTTGATTTCAATATTAAGAATGCACATAAAGCAAATTAATCAAATGTTTTCTTTTAGTAATCGCATTGTTAAATCTTATTTGCGTTTTGATAACTTTGCTAATATTGCCAAGGTTGTTAATGCTAAAAAACTATCATTTCCCTAGCAAACGCATTTTGATTATCCATAAATTATTAATAATATTATTATCAACAGATATTTTGTGTAAGTGTTCTTTTTAATGATACAACCACGCGTATTTAAGCTATAAAAAAAAAGTGGATGCATGATGATTTCTTCATGGACATTTATATATGTACTATTATTAATTATATCAGGTATTCAACTTCCGCATAAGACTTACAATCAACATCGTGCTTTTCCAATTCTGTTTGACGTTTGAAATCATTGACCAACCCTGGATTCTTATATGGGTCCGCTATGTGATTACTTTTGTATTTGATATAATAGTTTATATTAACAAAATTAATTTATGTGCTGATCAATAATAATACAACAATATCAAATGAATCAATTAACCTCGTAGCATTATGTATACACCTAATTAAGCTTACGCTGGTGGCATTTCCGATAAAAATATGAAATATGTTTGAACTTTTTTTTTAATTTAAATTAATTCTGCGATTTGTTTATACAAATACAATGAGCAGAGATCGCTATATTTATTAAAAAACTAGCTGACCCGGCAAACGTTGTTTGGCTAAGTAATGTATATTCTAATCAATTTCTAGAGATATTCCGATATTCCGATATTCCGACATTCGGATATTCCGACATTCAGATATTCCGACATTTAGATATTCAGATATTCCGACATTCAGATATTCAGATATTCAGATATTCAGATATTCAGATATTCAGATGTTCAGATGTTCAGATGTTCAGATATTCAGATATTCAGATATTCAGATATTCAGATATTCAGATATTCAGATATTCAGATATTCAGATATTCAGATATTCAGATATTTAGATATTCAGATATTCAGATATTCAGATATTCCGACATTCAGATATTCAGATATTCAGATATTCAGATATTCAGATATTCAGATATTCAGATGTTCAGATGTTCAGATGTTCAGATGTTCAGATGTTCAGATGTTCAGATGTTCAGATGTTCAGATATTCAGATATTCAGATATTCAGATATTCAGATATTCAGATATTCAGATATTCAGATATTCAGATATTCAGATATTCAGATATTCAGATATTCAGATATTCAGATATTCAGATATTCAGATATTCAGATATTCAGACATTCCGACATTCCGATACTCCGATATTTCGATAGAGCTAAATGTACAAAAAATGGCAATTTTTGAAAGAACTAAGTGTCCGATTTGAATGATTCAAAGAAATTTCTGCTTGTTTTAACAAAATAATTGCTAATGGAAAAAAAATTGTTATAATTTTTTTTTCAAATTTTTTTTCTTGAAATTTTTAAGTTACGAAGTTTCAAGTAACATTAGATGAATTAACGAACAATTATCTGACTACGTTCAGTAAAATTGCCAGCTACTTCATCATTGTAGAAATGTATTTTTTTATGTCTTTCAAAAATTCGTTATCTACACCTCTTTACCCTATAGGCGGGGTAACTTGGAACGGCCAGGTGGCAAACACGTTTAAAACCTTATTTTAATTTAAAGGTATTTTACAAAATAATTACATTTTTAACTAATGCTAAAAAACTACCAACGGAAGAAAATACTTTTATTATGGATTTTCGAAGATTACCGATATTTTGTCAATACAATCAAACTGGAAGTTTTATATACTTTCTATAGAAAACATGGTATAATCCAATCCAAGTTTTTTTTGGTCTTTCGACTTATATTGTCGTAAATATTCACGTAAAACTTCCTATTCAAAGTAATTGAACACCATCGGTCAAGAACGTTTGACATTTCACGTAATAGCCACCGTCTATTGTTTTATTCAAATTACGCTTCTACAAAAATTTTCAAATTAAAAATGTAAAGTTTCTACGCGATTTTGGAATAATATCTCACCTTTTGGACTTTTTCTGGATTGGCACGAATTATTCAAGTCTAAGGCTGGCCAAATCGGTTTAGCCGTTTTCGAATTTTACTTAGACATTTGAAAGAGAGCTCCATTTTTATATATAAGATGATCAGCATGTAAAAATTGATTAATATTTTTGCGTCAGTAATGAATAATTAATAAGCTAAATTTGAAAACTATTTTATAATAAAGCGATCCAGGTTAGGTATTAAAACCTGATGTTTTTTTAACAATAAAAAAAGTTGAAAAAAAGGTAACAATTCTATTGAAGGACTATTTTTAGTTGGGCATTTGTATCATTATTTTCAAGTGAAAACTAAGTTAATTTGAATTATTAAGAAATTATACATTTCAATTGTACATCAGGAATTTTAAATATGATCTTTGACTTTAATTGACGTAGAACATTATTTTATATTCGCAGCAAGAAAATAAAGTATACATTACAAATTATAAACACAACGAAATTCTTAAACATTTTTCTATTTAATGACGTTCTTGGCCAAATTATACCAAAACATTATGATGCATTATAATTTTTATAGTTTTTTGTAATATAAAGTCATTTTGTAAAATGGATTATGTGATTGCTTTGTAATATAAAGTCATTTTGTAAAAATTGGTTAGGACATTTTTACATGATAATATTATTATATATCATATATCTATATATGAAATCTTCTCTAGAAACTTCTAATTGCGAATATGTTTCTACAGTAAATAAACAATAAGATTATTCAAGTTTAAATGAAATATATCAGAATTCTGAAAATATGTGGCGGGATTAGCTCACAGAGTAGCGTTCCCGATTCACACATTTGAGGTTCTGAGTTCGAATCTTCGGCAAGAATTTGAAAAAAAATTAAGTAGTTAGTTTGGAATTATAAT